TAATTCACTGCACAATGTGCCAAAGCCACCTCTAAATTTATGGGTGAAAGTAGGTTGGGGAGAGGGGGCTCTTTGCAGTGCAGTTCCAGGGGTTGTGTGGCCACAGAGGGCAAAGCCCAGAAAGATGGAAGTGCCATGGGAGGCTGAGTTTCATCCCATTTATGAAAATACGTCTTACAGGTAAAGTTTTCCCATGGTCCATCAGGCTCCCAGAGAGCAAACAGGCCAGCTGGCTCCCAGTCAGGGTGGGTGCAGCCATCTTGAGAATCCCTCCTTCCTAAAATGGCAAACCCAGGGCCAGTCCTTATTAACTCTGCAAGTCCCAGGACACACTGGAGATTATTACCCAGAGAGTTAGGGCCATGGCCAGACTGGAACCAGGACTCTGAGTCCTCAATCTGGCCCCTTCTCTTCAGTACAAATCGATTTCTGTGATATTCCATCCCAATTGTAGATGAGAAAGTTCTTGGAACCATCTCTCCAGGCTTCATCCTGGAGCAAAAGGAGCCCCAGCCACCAGGGGGCACAGTCTCCTAACCTGGGCCTCTTTCCAGTCAAGGTTGTGATGGCTTCTTGGCCGCAGCCAGCTACCCTGAGGGAGTGAGTAGTTAGTTGGACCTGTGGGCTTGGGACCATGGTTGCAGGGGACATCAAGCTCAAATAACCAAACCAAAGACCAAACTCACTGCCACTGAGTCGATTCTGACTCACAGTGACCCCCATTGGATTTCTGAGGCTGTAAATCTTTACGGAAGTAGAATGCCCCATCTTCCTTCTGCAGAACTGTTGGTGGGTTTGAACCACTGACCTTCTGGTTAGCAGAAAATGCCTTATCCACTATGCCACCAGAGCTCCTTTTAATATAATGTCAGATGGCAGCAAATTCTGTGGAGAAATATAAAGGCAGGTAAGGGATTAATGGCTGAAGAGGCTGCTATGTTAGATGGGGTGATCAGGTGTGATGGTTATGTTTGTGTGTCAACTTGGCTAGGCCTAGTTGAGTAGCTGGGCAGCTGGTGGTAGTATTCCCCATGATGAGACTGGCAATCAACTCCATGGTGGGATCTACCACAAGCAACTGAGTAGCTGCCTTTGGGATGTGGTCTGCTTCCTGTATATAAGGAGAAGCTTTGAGAATGGTCTCTAATCTATGGCACGCTTGGACCCTGCAGATAGCCATGTCGTTGCTCAGCAGCCTGCTATGCTCTGCCGACCTTGGGACTTAAAATGGACTTAAATTAATGGCCTGCCGTGTGGTTTGGTAACATCGGGACTGTGCCTTTTTACTTGTCAACCTTGGGGCTTCTCGGCCTTAACAGCCAGCAGCTGTCTGAGTGAAGAAACGCCTCTGGCTCCAGTGGGCCGGGAGCAGGAGGTGGAGCTGGACCCCAAGGTTGAGGGGCTTTCACCCAGCCCCTAGAGCCTGGCACTTTGAACTTGGACTTAAAGCCTCCAAATTGTAAGAAAAAACTCCTATTTGTTAAGGCCATCCCATTTGTGGTATATTCTTGTCAGAGCAGTACTAGGTAACCAGAACATCAGGGAAGGCTTTTTAGAGGAGGCAGCATCTGAGCAAAGACTTGAACAAAGTGAGAGAGCCTGACATTGAGGTATCTGAGGAAAAGTGTTTCAAGCGCAGGGAACAGCAAGTGCTAAGGCATGAATCAGGCATGTGTTTGGTGCACTGGAGGAACAGTGAGAAGGCCAGTGTGGCTGGAGGAAGAGAGCAGTGCAAAGTGGATCCAATTCATTAAGATCTTACAGGTTACAAGGACTTTGGATTTTAAGTGCAATGCCAACCTCCCAGAATGCTGAAGCTGAGGATGAGGTGGTATAATTTCTGCTTTAAAAATGTCACTCTGGCTGCTGCATGGAGAAGAGTCTGTAAGGGTAGAAATGGGGAGACCTGTTAGGAGGCTGTTTGGTATCCAGGAATGAAATGAGAGTGAGTCAAATAACAGAGGCCGCAGTAGCCAGAAGTGAACGAATATGTGGCATATTTTAAAGGTGGTATTTAAAGAAGCTAAGATATGAGAGGGACCTCTGGTGGCACAGTGGTTAAGGCATTCAGCTGCTAACCAAAAGGTTGGAGGTTCAAACCCACCAGCTGTTCCACGGGAGAAAGATGAGGCAATCTGCTTCTATAAAAATGTACAGCCTTGGAAACCCTGTGGGGCAGTCCACTCTGTCCTTTCCATAGGGTCACTATAAGTTGGAGTCAACTCCATGGTGTGGGTTTGTTCTTTTGGTTTTAGGGTATGAGAAAGAGAGAGAAAGCAGGAATAACTTCGTAGTTTTTACTAAACCAGTTGGATGGATGGTGGTACCATTTAGTGGGATAGGGGAGGTGGGAAAGTCACAAGTCGGAGTTGGGACATGACAGTTTGAGATATCGGGTGGACATTCAAGTAGATATGCTGAACAGGTATTTGGATATTGAAGTCTGGAGTGCTTGGGGAGAAATCAGGGCTGGCACAGAACTTGCAAGTCCTCGACATGTAACCAGTTAGCCAGTTGCTGCTGACTCAACTCTGATTCATGGTGACCCCATGGATGTAAGAGTAGAGCCATGTTCCATAGGGCTTCCAATAGCTGGTTTTTTTAGAAGTAGATTGCCAGGCCTTGCTTCTAAGGTGCTTCTGGGTGAACTCGAACCACCAATCTTTCAGTTAGCAGCCAAGCACATTAACTATTTGCACCACCCAGCGACTCCTCTTGGCATGTACTGTATCAGAAACCAGTTGTCACTGAGTCGATTCCGACTCAAGGCAACCCCATGTTAACCCCCTGTGTATTAGAGTAGGATTGTGTTCTGTAGGGTTTTCAGATAGTATTAAAAGTCAAAGGACAGGATGGGGTCTTAGGAGATGAGTGTAACCCATTGACCAACTGCCATTTAGCTGATTCTGACCCATAGAGAGTCCCATCAGGTTTCCAAGGTTGTAAATCTTTATGGAAGTAGATTGTCTTATTTTCCTCCCACAGAGCAGCTGATGGGTTTGAGCCACCTACCTATTGGTTAGCAGCCCACAACACCACCAGAGCTCCTTAGGGGATGAGTGTAGAGAGATTAATCTGATAGTCAAGTCAGGAGGCAGAGGAGAGGCCTCCAAAGGAGATGGAGCAGCAGCCAAGGGAAGAGAGTGCTTCTAGAAGGAGGACATGATCAATCCAGACCAATGCTGTTCCTCAGCTGAGAAACCATCATTGATTTGGTAACCTGGAGGTCACTGGGGACCTTCAGGAGCAGAATCTCAGACAACTGATGGGGATTGGAATGAGTTCAAAAAAGAATAGGAGACAGTGAGATAGATAGACAATGTCTTTGTGAATTTAACTCTCAAAAAAAAAAACCAAACTCACTGCCACTGCCATCAAGTCAATTCCAACTCATAGCAACCCCCATTGGGTTTCCTAGGTGGTAACTCTTTATAAAGGTAGATTGTCCCTACTTTCTTCCATGGAGTGGTTGGTGGGTTCGAACTGCCAACCTTCTGGTTAAGTCAAATGCCTTAGGCACTGTGCCACCAAAGCTCCTTAGCTCCCCAGGGCAGTAAAATAAAAGAAAGGCCTAGCAATCTACTTCTGAAAAACCAGGCATTGGAAACCCCATGGAGCACAGTTCTGTCCTGACACAGAAGCACTGCCATGAGTTGGAGTCCACTAAATGGCAATGAGTTTGCGAGGACAGTGGTGGTTCAGTGGTAGAATTCCCAACTTCCAGGTGGGAGATACAGGTTTGATTCTTAGCTAATGCACCTCAGGTGTAGCCATCCACCATCTGTCAGTAGAGGCTTATTTTGTTATGACACCACACAGGTTTCAGTGGTGCTTCCAGACTAAGAAGGAAGTCCTGGCAATCTGATGGTGTAGGGCCCTGCATTTCCTTCTGTTATGCATGGGCTGCCATGAGTTGGGGTAATGGTGGGGAGGGGAGAACTGCAGCTGAGGAACTGAGGGGATAGTGGAGGGTAGGCACCTCTTCACTTATCTGTACACAAGTGTGCTCAATCTCCCTGCCACCCCGTCAAGGCGCTGGGGGCAGAGTGGGGACACTGAAGACATCTCCCTGGAAGCTCTGCCCCTCTGGGGTGGGGATAGCAGGACACAACCCACCTCTACAGTGGACAGCAGACGTGGAGTTGGGTAGCAAGGCTGCGGGTGCTGACCCTGCCCAGGGCTAGGGGTGGCAGTGAGAGCAGAGCCCACAGTCAAACTCAGAGTGGAGACACCGGCTGCCTCCTTCTACAGTCGCTACTTCCATATTTTTTTCTGCTTTTGGTAGTGTTCTGCAAACCTAACGTTAAGCTCCCCCGCTTTCTGTAGACTTGCCTCCCCCTAAATCCTTCCCAAGAGCTCTGGTAGCGTAGCGCCTAAGGCATTTGACTGCTAACCAGAAGTCTGGCGGTTCAAACCCTCCCGCCACTCCTCGGAAGGAAGAAGCGGCAATCTACTTCTGTAGTGATACTGCCTCGAAAACCCAAGGAGGGGTCGTTATGAGTCGGGTCCAACTCGATGGCACATAACAACAACAACAACAAATCCTTCCGATCTAGAAATTCTGAAGCCTCTACTGCAGCGTCTTACACAAAACAATAATACCTGTCCTCGCGACAACCTCGCGAGATGGGTATTATTGTCCCGTTTGTCCGAGAAGGACACTAAGGTTCAGAGACAAGACTGTTGTGTAGCTGTCTTTTTCAAAGCAGGCTCTCTTTTCACTCTGTCAGCTAGAGAAGCAAGAGGCTGGCAAGGTGCGGGCGAGTCCAGGGCGAGGCGGTGTCTCCCACGTGTGGCGTACAGCAGCTCCGGCCCCGTGCGGACCCCACCCCAGTCTGAGGGACCCTGACCGCAGTGCCCTCCAGCTCAAAGGAACTCAGCCCTACGCGTTTGGGCGGGGCTTCCCACCGACAACGAGGCGTGGTTTGTAGGGGGCGTGGTCTATGGCTCCGCCCCTGGCTGCGAACTCAAAGCGGATGGCGGACGCGGGGCGGGGCCAGAATACGGGACCGGCGACCGATACCAACGCGGCTCCTTGGAGCCCGCGGCGGACCAGCGCCCCGGCGGGGCCAAGCAGGTATGGGCGACTGCGCGGGCGTCTCGAGCTGGGCGAGGCGGGGGCGAGGGCTGCTGGGGACCAAAGAGGGGTTAGGGGTCGCAGCCAGGGCTGGGCTTCCCCCCCACCTTCGGCCGGGCCCCTTTGCCCGCCCCCGCCTTCCTGCTTCGAAGCCGGCTGTGGCGGGGCCGATTGGCGCCTGCGCCGCTTCCTGCGGCCGGGACCTGGTCAATGCACCGGGCCTCGGCGACTTGGGGAAACTGAGTCACAGCGGGGTGGTAGCAGGCTTGTTTGGAAGGCACCACCCCCATTAGGCTCCAAGATGGATCCCCTTACGGGACACGCTCTGGGGTCCCGGCTCTTTGCAGGGGCGGTGCCCCACCCTCCCAGCGCCCAGGGGTCCCGCCCTGGCTTCCAGCGGCCTCGGCCGGGCCTGGAATGGCTAGGACCCGCTCCAGCCGCCTCCCTCCCTCTTGCTCCCTCCCCCTTGCGTCCCAAGCCCCCGTGTGCTCCCTCCGCTGGCTCTCCGCGCAGTGTCAGCTTACACGCCTTATATAGTCCGAGCAGGCTCCAGCTGCGGCCTGCCTGCCTGCCGGGACCTGGGGGCGGGGGAGAAGAGCGCTGGCCCCTGACTCACCCTGCCGCCCGAGGCTCCTTGCTGGCTTGGGGGCAGGCCTTGCCAACCTCGCCCTGTGGCCCACCCCTGGATGAAAAGTACCTCACCCCTGAATGTGGGCTCCCTCAGCCTCCCATCTCTGGGGGTGGGAGGCTGCCCCTGTCTTTCCAAAGTAGGGCCTACCGGCCAGCTGCCTAGCCAACCCTGACAAAGGGCCTGCCCTCCCTGTCTTGGGTGTGCTCAGTGCCCACCCATGCCTGCTTGGTGCCGGACAAGGGCTGGTGTCCAGCCCTCAGCCATGCCTACCCTCCCACCCAACATGCCAGCCACTCACATTTTCTTCTCTCCTCTCAGGAGCAGGCACCATGGATTCTTTCAAGGTGGTGCTGGAGGGTCCAGCACCCTGGGGCTTCCGGCTGCAAGGTGGCAAGGACTTCAATGTTCCCCTCTCCATCTCCAGGGTGAGCCAAAGCTGAGTTCTAGGTTGGGGGTGGGGCTCTCCCAATGTCTTTGGATGCTGGGGTATCAAGTGGGTGCCGGGAGGAGTATGGGCAGGAGCCAGCCGGGAGCCACCAGACCAAGGTGCATCCAGATGGAGTGATGGATTGGTCCCCTGCTCTGCCCTCATGGAAAAAGGCCATGAAGATTCCCAACAAGGTGAATATGGAGCCCCCACATTCCCTCAGCTGTGCATTTCACTGGATGCTACTCCGCAGAGCTCTACCCTAGCCTCTGAGGCTAGGGTGCATGCCCTTCTGCAGGAGCCTGAGGTTACAAGAGGAAATGTCTAAGCCAGTTGAGGGAACGTCACTACAAGCCAGGTCCCAGGCTGGACACACTGACTGCAAAATGTCATTTCAGTCTCACTGCCGACCAAGGATTAGGAATTATCCCATTTTTGCACATGAGAGCACCCAGGGCATAGAGAGGTAGTGGGATTTGTTCAGCAGTTTCATGGCAAAGCAAGGATTTGAAGTCAGGCACTGGGACTGGGTCTGCAGTTTGTGTAGGTAGGAGAAGGGGGTGTCTCCACAGCCTATGGGAAGGCCCCCATGGTCTTCCACTGGCCCATTCAAGATGTGGTGGCCTTTGAGCCCTGCAAGGGGACTAGGGGCAATCTCTAGGGCTCCACCTTCAGCTCCTGAGAGCCCTGGGTGGGGGCGGAGCTGAGGGCTGGCTCCTCCCTATAGCAGGGGGATTGCCTTATAAGCCCAAGAATGCAGCCCCATGCTGGGATGGCCAACTGAGTGGCTGGATTCTGCAGAGGGAAAAAAAGCTGGCCTGGGCTTAGACCCCTGAACTATACTGGTGGGCCCCTATGACTGAGGGGTGATCCGTGCCAAGTCCTTGCTGGTTATCAGGCCACAGTCCCAGCTGTGGGGGTCAATTGTGGGGCACAGAGAGCAAACAGCCTGCTCAGAGAGGGTGAGGCCAGTGCTGGAGCTGGTGACTTGGCTCTGATTGTGGCCTGGGGTTGAGGGGGTGAGGACTTCCTGCCCCCACATCCGCCTGCCCAGAGAGGCCCACCCAAGTGCCAGTGGGCAGGCAGCTATTGGCAGAAAGCCCAGGGCAAGCACATCATGGAGGGGGCCAGAGGATTGTCCAGGGACTGCGCAGTCTGGGAGGGGCCCCAAGGCAGAGTCTGTCTGTGGAGGCTTTGGCCAGGCCAGGTAGGAGGTGTTGTGTGCCTCCCAGGGTGCCTTCCACAGTGTTCCTCTGATAGCCAAGGGCAGTGGTCAGCCTTCTGCCCCAGAAACACTCCTACACACCTACACAGTCCTCAAGCCTTGCCAGCCCTGAAAACCTAGCCCACATCCTCTCCCCGGGAAAGTGCTGGCCACTGTGACTAGGGAACCCTAGGCCTTGGCTGGTCTCTGTTTCCTCATCAGTGGGGACAGACAACATAGTAGCCAAGGGAATGAACTTCTAGATGTGGCCTGTTGGGGGCACTCTAAACTTGGGCTTCCATGTCAGCAGCCCCAGCCCTGGAGTTTGACTTAGGCCCAGGAAGGAGAGGTGGTCTTTTCTGAGCTGGGCTGGCCCCCTCTCACTTCCCTGACCCCAGAATGGAGGGACGAGGGAGGGGCTAGGGCTGGCTCTGGTCCCAGGCCTGGGAGATGAGGTAATGTCTGGGACTGGGGGGTTGGGCTGCTCAGTGGAGCTCTCAGGCCTGACTCACCCCTACCCAGGGAAGTGTCCAGCCCCTTGGCTTCCCCCCTTCTTGGACCCTGGGGCCTCACCTTGCCCCCAACAAGAGCTGCTCTGCGCTTTCTGCAGCCAAGCCCAGCTCTCCCCTGTAGCTCTCTTTACCTCTCTGACCACTGCCCCTACCCCTCGTGTGCTTCTTGCTCTCCTCACCCTGGGAAAGGACATAATCCCCACCCCACCTTCCATGAGCTGTTCCTGCCTACCCCAAGACCCCCATTTCTGGCTCAGCCCACACCTCCATGTCAGTAGGGAGTGGCCGGACCAGGTTTCCCTTCTAATGACTCACTGTGACCTTAGTAAGTCACTTCCCCTTCAGGGTGTTACTTCCCCTTGCCCCATGGTAAAGGGTTTGATTGAACTAAAGATGAGGTAGGGAATCTAGGCCCCCAACCCAGCCAGGAGTCAGGGGGCTTTTCCAGGGGCACTGACCCTGAGTGAAGCCCCAATGCTCAGCAGAGTTGGCCCAGTGTGGAGGAGCCTTAGGCCCAGAATCAAATCCTGGCCCTGCCTCTTTCTTACTAGTTGAGCAACTTGAGGCAAGTTAATCTTAAATTGCTTAATCTCTCTATGTGTTTTCCCACGTGTAAAATGGGTATAATCTCAGGTTCCGTTCCACAGAGTTACTGGAGAATTTGGTGTTCATATATGGCCTGAAAAGTAGTAGGTGCTCAATAAATGTAAACTGCTGGTTACTATTGTTACCTGGCAGATGAAGTGGCCACCCAGCTCTCTTACCCTTCTAACCTCCCAAGCATGAAATAGAGCCAGTTAACCCAGCTCTGCTGCCTTCTAGCCCCAGTGCTATTAGTTTCTGCGTCTGGTGCCTCTGCACGCCCCTCTCTGTGCCTGGGCTCAGCCTGTGCACCAGCTCCCATGTGAGGAGCTTTCTGGGATCTCAGGCAATCTGTCCCTCTTATCTTAGTTGTCTACCCACTGCCATTGAGTTGGATCTGACTCATTGCGACCCCTTCTTGGGTTTCTGATATATGGAAGTTGATCCCCCAACTTTCCTTCTGAGGAGTGGCTGGTGGGTTTGAACTGCCAGCCTTCTGGTTAGCAGTCAAATTCCTTAGACATTACACCACCAGAGCTCCTGATTAGGAGCTAATGCTGCTATAACAGAAATTTAACAACCAAAAATTATTTTCTCACAGTTTAAGAGGCTAGAAGTCCAGAATTCAGGGTATTGGCTCTAAAAGAATGCTTTCTCTTTCTGTCAGCTCAGGGAGAAGTTCTTTGTCTATTCAGTTTCTTTTTCATAGTTTCTTGGAGATCTCCATGTGCCTTGGCATCAATCTTCCCCCATCTCTACTTGCTTAATCTGCTCATTTTATATTTTATAAGAGACTGACTCAAGACACACCTTAAACTAATCCTGCCATTAACATAACAAAGACAACTCTTTCCCAAATGGGATTATAACCACAGCCATAGAGGTCAGGATTTACAACACATTTTAGGGAGACACAATTTAATCCTTAACACCTTGCTGATCAGTGTGAAGTGTAAATCTGCCTCACAGTACTTCCTGTAAAAACTGCTCAGGACCTGGTCCCTTGCCAGATGGCTGGGCAAAACCCCTGGGCTCAGACCCATGAATGGCCATGCTACCCCTGCCTGGGTTTCTGGCGCTAGGCTAGAGGGCTGGGAAGGTACACTGGGGTCTGTCAGTGTCTTGTCTATCAGGGGCCTGCTAATGGCCCCTCCTGCCATCAAGGCCAAATCCTAGTTCCTGCTTTCCCCCTTGGTTGCCCCAGGAACCAGAGACTCCCAGTTCAGAGCCTGAAAGATGGTGATGTGTTCTGTGAGGTAATGTGGCTTTTGCAAGCTTAGGAGTGACGCCCATTTACAGTCCACTGATACCTAAGGCTCCATTCAGACACTGTGCCTACCCCTGGCTCTAGGGTCTTCTGGTAGCATAGTGGTTAAAGCATTCAGCTGCTAACCAAAAGGTCAGCGATTTGAACCTACCAGCCATTCTGTGGGAGAAAAATGAGGCAATTGGTTACCGGAAAGATTTATAGCTTTGGAACCCTAGGGGGCAGTTTTACTCTGTCCTATAGAGTCATTTTGAGTTGATGTGGTGGGTTTGGGAGCTCTTGTGGTGTAGTACCTAAGGTATTTGCCTGCTAACCAGAAGGCTGGCGGTTCAAACCCACCAGCCATTCCTCAGAAGGCAGGTTGGGCAATCTACTACCATAGTGATACCACCTCGGAAACCCAAGGAGGGGTCTCTATGAGTAAGATCCGACTCCATGGCAGTGAGTTTGGTTTTTATGGTGGGTTTGGTTTACCCCTGGCTCTCAAAGGGGCGTGCTATTGGGGGGGCAGGGGCAGATCTCTACAGATGGCCCCAAGACAGGGTACTGGGAGTATCAGAAGTCAGAGCACCCAGAGGTGTCAGAGGAATGTGTCCCATGCACAAGCCAGGGGAAGGAAAGGTCTACCTGGTAGGTGGAACAGCCTGGGCAAAGGCTCAAGAGGCCATCAGGACTCTGAAAAGGCTGTGCCCCCCCAGGCAGGAGGGCTTGGGTTTTATCCAGAGAGTGGTTGTTTGTTGACATATTTTCTGAACTGTGGGGGAGGGAGAGGTTTGGAGGTAAAAGTAAAGGTGAAGAAATGGATAAAAAAGTAAATAAGCAGGGTGGTTGGGGTGATGTGAGTGATAGGAGCCCCACCACCTCCTGGGTAGCTTTATAACAGGCAGCTGCCCAGAAATCAGTTGTATGGAGAGGCCTTTGGGTTCTGGAAGTAGGGCAACTCAGGGAAGGGCAGGCCTCAGTTTGGCCTACAGAGTCCTGAGCCTCCATAACCCCTGTCTCTCCACAGCTGACTCCCGGAGGCAAAGCTGCACAGGCTGGTGTGACCGTGGGTGACTGGGTGTTGAGCATAGACGGGGAGAACGCGGGAGGTCTCACACATATTGAAGCCCAGAACAAGATCCGAGCCTGTGGGGAGCGCCTTAGCCTGGGTCTTAGCAGGTGTGAGGGCATGGCCATCCTGGAGGGTGGGGGCCCCTTACTTGGCCCACCTTCACTGCTTCCCCTTTCCTCCAGGGCCCAGCCAGCTCAAAGCAAACCGCAGAAGGTAGGTGCTGGCCAGGGAACTTGGGGTGGAGGGTGGGGTGGGATTGTACATCGGGGACTGACCTGTCCTCCTCAGCAGCGCAGCGTCAGTTCCTCCATCCCTGGTTGGGAGCAGAGGTTAGAGGCTGGGGGGTTAGGGAGGGTTTGGGAGACAGGAGTTGAGCCGGGGGCTGCCGCACGGTCCAGGCACCGCTCACATCTGTCTGTCTTGTCTGCCCGCCTCCCTCACCTGTGCTGCACATCCTCACATCATATGCCCTCGGGCCTACGTGGGCTGAGATCATAGCTCCCAAATGGGCCCCTTACTTGAAACTCGAGTCACCCCCTCCCCTGAAGCCTCCGGCCAGATGTGTGTGGGCGGGGCTGGAGCAGTGCTCACCGCTCTGCATCTGAAGGGGCACCCCACTTTGGTCCCACCCCCTGCCCCACCCGCCCTGCCCGGCTCTGTCTCTGCTCAGGCCCCGGCCCCCGCCGCGGACCCCCCGCGGCACACCTTTACACCCAGCGCCTCCCTCAACAAGACGGCCAGGCCCTTTGGGGCGTCCCCGCTCGCTGATGGCACCCCGCAGCAGAACGGGTATGTCAGCCCCTGCCCGCCCACTGCCCACGCCATACCTCTGCTGCCCCATGCCAACCCCTGCTGCTGCTTCTCCGTCTGCGCTGCTCCCCAGCTCGGCCAAAACCGTGCGGCAGCGACCCCTGGCGGCCAGGGCGGGGGCTACAGGCACAGGGCTCTTCCTTAGTGGGGTACTTCCTGCCAGGTGTTGACATCCTGGGGCCTCTGAACGAGGCAGAGTTCCTGCTGGTGGCCTAGGGTTGGGATGTAGTATCTGCTTGACTGAGCCATAGACACTCCCTGTGGCCTTGTCCCTGGGTACTCTGACTCCCCCATCTTTCTTCTACCCCTGTGTCTGTCGCTTTATCTGTCCATCTGTCTATTTCTTCACAGGTGCAGACCCCTGACAAGTCAGTGAGCCCCCTCTGCCTGTCCCTGTCTTCCTTCCTTTGGCACTCTGGGCGGTGGCCCCTCCTGGCTCTCCTGCCTCCTCCCCTCTCACTTGCCCACCCACTCACCAGCAGGGCCCCTGGCCTCTCCCTCACTCTCCCCATCACCATTAACCACGTGTGCTAAATCCTGGGAGGGGCTGCCCCCACATCCACCCATAGCATGCCTTCTGAGCCACACTCTTCCCACAGACTGCCACTTCGACCGCTGGTCCCCAATGCCAGCAAGCAGCGGCTGATGGAGAATACGGAGGACTGGCGGCCACGACCTGGGACAGGCCAGTCCCGCTCCTTCCGCATCCTTGCCCACCTGACAGGCACCGAGTTCAGTAAGTGGCAGCCTAGGGCAGGGTGGACTCTCCTTCTGGTCCCCAGCTTGGACTCCGGCGCCCTGTGGACCCTCTGCCAGGGCTCAGGGCTGGGATGACCCTCTGTCTCATCTTGGTCAATGCCTGCCTCTGCCCTCTCAGTGCAAGACCCGGATGAGGAGCACCTGAAGAAATCGAGGTAATAAGATGGGCACCAGCCCCTCTCTCCTACCTCCTGCCTCTCCCATTCCTGCCACCATTCCCAGATCTGCTCCTGGTACTCTAACCAGGGGTCTCCATCTTCCTTCCTTCCTTCTTTCCTCCTTCCCCTTCTCCCTCCCTTCCATCTTTCCTTCCTTCTACTTCCTCCTCCTTCTCTCTCTGTCCCTCAGGGAAAAGTATGTCCTGGAGCTGCAGAGCCCACGCTACACCCGCCTCCGGGACTGGCACCACCAGCGCTCTGCCCACGTGCTCAACGTGCAGTCATAGCCTGGCCCTCTCACTGGCCTGCTGCCCTCTGCCTCTCTCTTTCTGTTCTTCCCACCCAGGGCATCCCCTCTGGGTGCCTTCAGCTTCTGCCTACCTCACCCACCCCTTTTCTGCCCCTGGACTGATGCTTCACAGGCCTGACCCTGGCAGCCCCACCTGGCACTGGCCTGGCTCTGTCTGACACTGCTGCCCCTCTCTGCCCTGTGGTGCTACTGTTTGCCAGGTCCATACTGGCTTGGGCATGAAAATAAACATTCTCAGTCCTGCTTTTTCTGCCTGTTTTCTCTCTTTGTGGGCCTGGTTTGCATTTGGGGTGTTGGGGGTATTGCATGGTTCAGACTCGACATGAGCCCCACTAGTCTGGGTCTCTGTGGGAGGGGATCCCTGGCCAAGAGGGTGTCACCTTGCCAGCAGAACCAAAGATCTGATATGATGGGTCCCAAGAGCTGCCCTCTCAGCTTTGCCCAACAGACCAGCCAGCTAGCACCTGGCTGGAGAAGATACCCTTCCCATCCCTCCCCCAGTGGGACCTAGAACTCAGCCCAGCAGCTCTCACTCACCCAGGTGTCTCCAGGGGGACCAGCAGAACCAAGGTGGTGGTGGGGGAATGGAGAGGGGAACATGCCAGGAACCTCAGCCCTGCAGGGCCTTGAACAGCAGGTCTTGCAGCCAGGTGCCCAGGACAGAAGCCCCAGCCCCAGCCTCAGCTACAACCCAGGAGCCCTGGCCTGGTGAGAGAGAGTGGGCTTGGGCCTGGGGAAGGGTGGATAGCCCTCAGGGGAATGGGGGTGGCCAGCTTCTCCAAGCTGCCCCTGGCCTTTGGGATCCCTAAACGTCCCCTTGGAGTCACTTCCCTTGGCCCTGGCAGGCCCTACCACCCCTAGCCCCACCAGCCGCCCACCCTGGGCCGTGGACCCTGCGTTTGCTGAGCGGTACGCCCCAGACAAAACAAGCACGGTGCTGACCCGGCACAGCCAGCCGGCCACGCCCACACCTCTGCAGAACCGCACTTCCATCGTGCAGGCAGCTGCTGGAGGGGGCACAGCAGGCAGCAGTGGCAGCAATGGCAAGACTCCTGTGTGCCACCAGTGCCACAAGGTCATCCGGTGGGTGGCCTGTTCCTTCCCTACCCTGGCCTTTCTTGTCCCACAGCCCATCCCTGGTATCTTTCCTACTTCTGCCACTCCCATGTGCCCACTCATCTTGCCTTAATTGCCACTGCTAAAAGAGAAGGGTTCAGTTCTTGATCAGGATAGGGCACGGGGCCCTGATCTGAGACCTCAGACTTAATACCCACACTCTACCAGCTTCTATCAGAGTATGTCCTGGTGAAATGGAGGAAAGTGCCAATGACATGTCAAAGGTATAGCCTTCCATTCACTGCTCTGGGCAAAGAAGAGCCTGTCTGTTCCTAGCCCCTCTGCCTCTGTCCCTCCTGCTCACTCAGCCTCTCTGCTAGGCCCTACCCGCAGAGTAGACAAGCTAGACACCTCCTAGGGAACCTAGCAGGGACACTCCCCTATAGTCCATGCACAAGGTTCTAGAGCGTTCCCAGTTCTTGGCCCTGGCTTTGCTCTGCTCTTGACTCCTATCCACTCTGCAAAGTGGCTCCTTCTTGAGACACGCCATTTATCTGGAACCTGCAGACTCTCCCCTAGGGAACCCCTAGGCTCACCCAAGGCCGGGTAGAGCAGGCAAGCAGGATGAGTCAGCTCAGGGTGCCCCCAATCTTCTAGGGCTCATGGGCACTCGGGCCTCCTGCCTCCCAGGGTTCGCGCGCTCTCTGCCACTTTTTCAGGACCATCCTGGGAGGCTTAAGTTGTGTCAGCCCCACCCAGTGTAACACTCCTTGTTCTACAACTCCCTCTGTCTCTCATCTGTCATCAAAGCAGTTCAGCCTGGCAGAGCTGAGCCCTGTCCTGGCCTTATTACCCTCACTGTGTGACCTTGGGCAAGTCATTTCCTAGGCCTTATTCCTTTCTGGTTGGAAAATGGGAGCATGTACTTTTCCTTCCCTCCCAAGGTTTTCTAGTAGGTGTTCAGTAAACCCACTTGGGATCTCTACCTCGTTGGCATGTATACCCTCTCACTGCCCCTCGCCTCCCCTCAGGGGCCGCTACCTGGTGGCACTGGGCCACGCATACCACCCGGAGGAGTTTGTGTGCAGCCAGTGTGGGAAGGTCCTAGAAGAGGGTGGCTTCTTCGAGGAGAAGGGGGCCATCTTCTGCCCCCCCTGCTATGATGTGCGTTATGCACCCAGCTGTGCCAAGTGCAAGAAGAAGATCACAGGCGTGAGTGGGGATGGTGGGGGGATGGGAAGTTGTTCTTGGAACATCTCCCTGCTTAATCCCTTTGGAGCTTTAACAGCCTAAGAAAGGGCTTGCAACATTAGTTTCACTACAGATGAGATACGTTAGCTAGGATTCTCTTAACCAATGACCAAAATCCTATTCAAAAGCCTATTTATTGGCTCAAACAACTGGCAAGCCCATGGGGAACTAACTTCAGGCTGGGCAGAATCCAGGTAAGATCTCCAGGTGGTGCAGACAGTTTGCCCTTGACTGCTAACCTCAAGATTGTCGGTTTGAACCTGCCCAGCAGTGCCACAGAAGAAAAGGCCTGGAGATGTGCTGCTTTTAAGATATTAAAAAAAAAAAAAAAACACTGCCATTGAGTCGATTCTGACTTGTAGTGATCCCCATTGGGGTTCTGAGGCAGTAAATCTTTACGGAAGTAGATTGGCCAGTCTTCCTGCTGAGGAGTGGCTGATAGGTTTGAACCACCAACCTTCTGATTAGCAGTCAAATGCTTTAGGCACTGTACCACCAGAGCTTATTAAGAGTATAGCCAAGGAAACCCTATACAGAGTAGTTCTACTCTGTAACACATGGGGTTGCCATGAGTCAGAATCTACACAGTGGCCACTAACAACAACAATAGAATCCAGGTATTGAGGTTATCAGGCGTCTTTCTAGCACTTGCCTCTGTTTTTAACTGTGTTGGTTTCGTGCCCCAGCATGTCCTTCCCTAAAATGCCACAGAGGGTACCACAGTGGCTCTGGGGTTACATCTCTCCAGCTTAGCACCACACACTGAAAGAAAACACCTCTGTCCCAATTGATGCAGCAGGAGTTTTAGTGCTGATGCTTATTGGCCTGGCTTGGTTTATATGCCCATCTCTGAACTAAGGCCCATGACTCTGATTAGCCAGGTAGGCCTAGGTTATACCCACTGTAGGCGCAGGGATTGAGATATCCCCACCTGAACCACAAACTGAGAGTGAGGCATGAGTAGTTCCCTAAAATAAAATCAGAATGACATTACCTACCATAGGAAGAGAAGTCCTGGACAGGCCAAAATAACAGATGGTTACTGTGTCAGCTAAGAGTGAGTTGAGCTGCAATGACAGAAATCCCCACTACAGAGATTTAAACAGAAGGGTTTATTTATTACAATCACAAAAACTCTAGGGCTAGAATAGCAACTCAGGGATGTCTTCAGGGGCCCAGATTTTTCCCACCTTCTTGCTCCAAAATACTTAGCAAGGAGACCTGCATCCTCAAGTTCATTGCATCCTGGTTACCAAGTAGCTGCTCATGTCGCAGGCCTTATGTCCTTGTTCCAGGAAAGATGTAAAAGGGAAGGAGCAAATGGCATTCTTTTAGCAGGGTCTTACCTTTTGACTCTAGAGGAAAAGCTAGGAACTTCCATCTTTATCCCATTGTCTGGAATTGCATCACATAACCACCTTAGACTGCAAGGGAAACTGGGAAGTCCAGGATTTTAGCTCTCCAGCCCAGATCACAGAGGAAGAAAAAAAAGGAGAGGGGCTGGTGAAAGGTTTTTGAGAGGCTAATTCACTCTTCTTATGAGTCGGGGCCGACTTATGAGTCGGGGCCGACTCGACGGCACACAACAACAACAACAACAACAATTCACTCTTCTGGGTATCTGCTGTATCTTTTCTGACCCATTCACAAAGTCTGGTCCTGTGCCAACCTCATGATTGGCTCCATAGGGTTTTCTTTGGCTGATTTTCAGAAATAGACCACAGTGTGTTTCTTCCTGTTCTGTTCTAGTCTGGAAAAACAAAACAAACCAAACTTATGCCATGGAGTCGAGTCCAACTCATAGCAACCCCTCCTTGGGTTTCCGAGGCAGTATCACTACAGAAGTAGATTGCCCAGTCTTCCTTCCGAGGAGTGGCTGGTGGGTTTGAATGACCAGCCTTCTGGTTAGCAGTCAAATGCCTTAGGCACTACGCCACCAGGTGCCTCCACTGAAACCTGTTTAGCATCAGCAGGCAGGCACCTACTGATGAGCAGGTGATGGCTGTTCATGGGGTACATATTGCTGCATCTAATGCGTGAGAAAACGGACTCTGAAGGTGACTTGATATGCTACTGAGTGGTGAGCCAGAAGTTCAGACTCAGAATCTTATGATCAGAATCCTGTTCTTCCCACTAATACTAAACACAAACCAAAAATCCAAACCCACTGCCATCAATTCTGACTCATAGCGACCCCCCCCCCCATTGGGTTTCTAAGGCTCTAAATCTTTAGGGAAGTAGATTGCCTCATTTTACTCCCTCAGAGTAGCTGGTGGGTTTGAACAGCCCACCTTCTGGTTAGCAGCCATATGCCTTACCCACCATGCCACCAGAGCTCTTTAATGCTAAACACAAAATATAGCCTAATCAGATTTCCTGTAGGGAAATCTGTCTGCCGCCCAATGCCAGGCTTGGATCGTTGGTCAGTGCTTGTCAAGAGCTGAGTAATGGACAATCTAGCTTCGTTGATTGATTCTCTTTATTAAATGTGGACACTGCCGGGCAGTGTGTCCCATACTAGGAACACAAGCGTAAACAAGTCATGGTGATTCAGAGAGTGCTTGGGAAGGAGGGCAGATCCAGCTATTGTTCTTGACCTCCAGGGGAAAGGCAGAAGATAGAGCAGAATTGACAGGCTAACTAAGTTCCTGTTGTACATATATGTACGTACATGAAGAGGGAGGCTCAGAGGGGGGGCAGAAAGTGCTTCAGGCTGCACAGAGCTTGAATGGCCCTAGGTCTGCCTAACTCTCAGCTTTGGCTGTTTGTGCTGTCATGCTTCCTCCTGACTTCTGTGAACCTAGAGGCAGAGCTGACAGATGTGCCCAGAATGTAACCCTTGACTGAGAGTAGGAGAAAACTCAAGATAATGTGGTTAACATGCTTGGCTGCTGACTGAAGGTTGGAGGCTCGAGTCCACCCAGAGGTGCTTAGAAGAAAGACCTGGCAAACTATTTCTGAAAGAGCATAGCCATTGAATACCTATGGAGCATAAATCTTCTCTGGCACACCCAAGGTTCTGCATGAATTGAAGTCAACTCAACAGCAACTAAACCAAACTCACTGCCATCAAGTCGATTCCAACTCATAGTTACCCCTCCTTGGGTTTCTGAGGCTGTATCTCTACGGAGGTAAATTGCCTAATCTTCCTTCCAAGGAGTGGTTGGTGGGTTTGAATTGCCAGCCTCTGATTAATAGTCAACTGCCTAAGGCACTATGCCACTAAAGCTCCTCAACAACAACTGTTGTTGTTGTTGTTGTTATGTGCCGTCGAGTCAAACCCGACTCATAGCGACCCCTCCTTGGGTTTTCAAGGCAGTATCACTACGGAAGTAGGATTGCCCAACCTTCCTTCCGAGGAGTGGCTGGTGGGTTTGAACCGCCAGCCGTCTGGTTAGCAGGCAAGTGTCTTAGCCACTATGCTACCAGAGCTCCCAAGTACTGGTTATTTCTCACTTAAAAAAAAACCTAGGGCTGGGCAGCCCAGGACTAGCATGGCTTACCCAAGACCCTGTATCTTGTTGCTTGGCCATTCTCAGCACATGCTTACTTATCATTCATCGTCCAAGATGGCTCTTGAGCCTCAGCCAAAATATCAACATTCCAGCCAGCAGGAAGTTGGGAGAGAGGAAGGAGGACAGAAGGCCATGGCAGCTGGCTTTTGAGGATGCTATCACACAACCCTTCTGCTTACGTTCCATTGGTCAGAACTTGGTTACAGTCACATGACCACAATGAGTTGCTGCAGAGGCTAGGAAAAGTACTCTTTACTTTGGGTGGCCATATGCTCAGCAGAAAATGGGAGTTCAATGAGTAGGCCACCCCCTCCAAAAATAAAAACAAACACACTGCCATTGAGTCGATTCTGACTCATTGTGACCCCCTTTGGGTTTCCAAGATGGTAAATCTTTATGGAAGTAGATGGCCCAGTCTTCCTTCTGCGGAGTGGCTGGTGGGTTTGAACCACCAGTCTTCTGGTTAGTGGTGAAATGCCTTAGGCACTATGCCACCAGAGCTCCAATGAGTAGGCAAGAAAGGCCAAATAAATATTTACCACAGTTTTGTCATTGTAATGATAGCTAATGGTTATGGGGCACTTAACTGTATGTGGGCATTCAGCTTCACAGTCGTACTATGAAGTCAGTTTGGTTATCATTCCCATCTTAAAAATGAGGAAATTTGCCCAAGATCACAGTCATTCCCTGCCAGCCTGGGCCACACCCCACTGGACCGTTCTAGAGGAATGGGCTAGATGCCCATTCTTGAGCTGGGCATCCAAGTTTGCCCTCTTCTTCTTGCATTACACAGGCACTTCAGCTTGTGCATTCACAGTCCTAGATGGGCAGGCTTATCACCCATAAGCCCTGCCATTGAGGAGCTGAGGTTCTATGGATGCTGGATCCTAGAGTAAGCTGCAGGTTACAGCCCTGTTCCTGTCTCCAGCCCAGGCTGGTGCTCCCACAGCACAGCCCATGGGCCTCAGCTTCCCCTTTTGGAGGGACTCCACTCCAGGGCCTGAAAGACCCCAGGAAGAACACCCTTCCCCCCAGAGACAGGAGTCTGACTTCACCAACCTGACAGGTGCTCCAAGAGGGGCTCTCACTGCCCAGTATTTTCCCTGACACTAGCTCTCAGGTCTGTGCTGTCCTTGGGGCTCTCAGTACAGAGCATGGGGAATCAGACTTTCAGTAGAATTGGAGGAAAGCTCAGGGAGCTGAGAGTACCAGGTCCAGTCTGAGGGTCATATGGTGACCCTGTGCTGTCTCAAGTCTCATGGCTCACTTCAGCTCTATCAAAAGGGTGTGGGGGCAGCATCTGACCTCCTCTAACTTCACAAGGCGGAAAGGAAGAAGTTTCAAGGTCAATAGCCCAAGGCTGATTCCTGTGAGGCAGAGATCAGACATGCTGGCATCCTCCAACCTTCTTTCCAATTCTGACACCAACTGTCAACTGTCCCTCCCATGGTACTCTACTTCTCTGCTGGGTTTGATAATTTGTTGCGATGGCCACACACAACTGACAGATACACTCACAATTACAGGATTTATTAGGGAAGTAATATGTTACAATTTAGGATTAGAAACAACTCAGGATACAGCTCTTCAATCAGGACAGCTTCTTCCCAGGGACACTCCTGGTTCTTCTTCATAGTAGTGAGATTCCCCCTTCCTGCCTCTGGGAATGCTCATTTTAAGCCTAGCAAGATAGCAAAATGGACCAATCCCCACAGTAAGGTACCTACCATACACCATATTTGTGTGGTCCCTCGTGTCATGTGCCTTATTATATTAGTAACAAGCTATCCAGTCCCCTTGGTGGGCCATAAGCAACCTCACATTTGCATTGTCCCACCCAGTCATCTGATGGGCGTCACAAAGACCATGGCTAGAAGAGCCATATTAAGTAAGCAATGGCACCGCAAGCCCCTTGGGCCCTCTCCGTTTTGTGCTCTCCTCCCTCACACTGCAGGGCCTTTGCCCAGGCTTTCCTCCACCAGAAACTTTTCAGCACCTTGTTTACTGGGGTTGTAAATGTCGCTTCCTCAGGAAAACTTTCCCAGATGCCCAGCCAGTCAGGCCCCCTACAATTGCCACTGTACCCCAGTTATTTCCTTTTGTCCCCCGTCTCTTCACCAGAGGGTCATCTGCATGGGCTGATGACCAGACATGCTTTGTTCATTGCTCTGTTCCCAGCATCAGGCACTGTGCCCTGTAGGTAATAAGTGCTCAGTAGACATTTGATGAATGAGTGAGTAGAAGGTGCCTTGAAGCTGAACCTAAAGCCCAAGTAGGAATTAGCCTAGAGAAGGATTGGGGGGAATGTTCCAGGTAGAGGGAATCACTTGTATCAAAAGAGAAAGACAGACATGTGAGAGTGAGGTGAGGCAGCAGAGATGGGCAGGGCCATGGTAGGGAGTTTGGAGTAGGAGGCTGATGAGGTCACATTTGCTTCACTGAACGCTTCCTCTGGGGAGTGGGGGGGCTAGAGAGGGGCACTAGAGGCTTCTGGGACCTGGGCCCAGGCAATGCAGATGGGAGAGCGGGCAGATTTAGGAAGATATCGGGGTAAAACAGAAACTGAAAACTGACTCACAGGTTCTTCTGAAACCTGCCTCATAGCCCATACCCACTGGGTCCAGCTGTGGGCTTTTACCAGGGCAGCCCTTACTCTTGTTGGAATGTCCTCTCCCAGCAGTTCCTTTGCTTGGGCCCTTTTTCTTTCAGAAGAGGCAACACAAGGTTGTAGAAAGAGCCAGCTTTGAAATCAGGCAAGTGTGAGCACAAAACTCATTTCTACCATCTGTTGCCTGAGTAACCTCATGTTCTCTGAGGGACACCAAAATGGGGGAATCAGTAACTCCTGACCAGGGTGATTGTGAGGTTTACATGGGATATGATATAGATGTTGTAGAGGTCACTAATGGCCCCTGGGTGGCGCAAGCAGTTTGCACTCAGATATTAACCTAAAGGTTGGCAGTCTCATCCACCTCAGTGCTGCAGAAGAAAGGGCTGTGATCGACTTCCCTAGGATTATAGCCATTGAAAACCGTGGAGCCCAGTTCTACTCTGACATGGGGGTTGCTATGAAACAGAACTGACTTGACAGCAACAGGTCGAGGTCACAAACAGCCCTTCAGAGGACAAGATGAAGCCCATATTACATCTTTTTTTTTTTTTTTTTTTTCCACATGGGTCAATGCATTTTTTCCATATTATGTCTTGATTGACATATACTGTTTAATTTTTAAACTAGTGGCCATTGTTTAAAAATCAGAAGATTTCACTTTAGCACCTAAATTTCAATCATAGCAATTCTGACCAAGCCAGTCCACACTGCCCTGGGGCAGGCTAGTGCTCACTTAAGATACAGTCTCCACTCTGTCCTGTTGTTCACCCTTGCCAGCTTCACTTCCTTCTGTTCCCACCTGGTGCTTACAGGCATTGGGGTCTGGGGACCCTGGCTTCAAATGTGAAGCCATTCTTACAACCGCCTTGTTAAGGATATGTTCCCAGTTCACAGGGGGAAGAACCAAATCTCAAGAGAAAATAACGCTGTTGGCCAAGTCATCCAGCTAAGAAGGAAGGTCTAGCTGAACCCACAGACCTCTACCCCTTCCCTAGGGCTTCACAGTCCCCACTGCCTGTTCCAGATCTGAATGCCACATGTATGTACTGCTGGCTCAAGGGTCCCTAGGATTGACAGCTACAGCTCACAAACATTGAACAACCACTAAGGGCCAAGCAGGAGTCCTTTGGTGGCACAGACAGTTAAGCACTCAACTGCTGGCCCAAAGGTTGGCAGTTCAAACACACCCAGAAGTGCCTTGGAGACAAGCTTGGCAAACTGCATCTGAAAGGTCACAGCCATTAGAAACTGTAGAGTACAGTTCTACTCTGACATACGTGGGCCGCCATGAGTCAGAATTGACATGATAGTGATTAACAAGCCCTCCTGGACCTATATTTGAAGTGGGGGAGAGACAGACACTAAGCAATAGACTTAAGTAAATTATCTAGTAGTATGTTGGTAAGGATAAACCAAAAACAACCAAGCTCACTGCCATCAAGTCGATGCTGACTCATAGCAACCCCCTATTGGGTTTCCAAGGCTATATGTATTTACAGAAGCAGACTTCCTCATCTTCCACAGAGCCCACCACCAACCTTCTGGCTAGCAGCCAAATGCCTTAACCACTACACTACCAGAGCTCCTTTAATAAGGATAAGTATATGGAAAAAGAGAGCAGAGTAAAGGGTATTGGGAATGTGGGGTTGGAGGGGGCAGGTTGGGTATTAACAGTGTAGTCTGAGTGGGCTTCATTGAAAAGGTGATATTTGATCAGAGACAGGAAGGAGGCAAGGGGGGAGCCTTGTTAGTATCCAGCAAAAGAGCTTTCCAGGCAGAGGGAACAGCCAATACAAAGCCCCTGGACAGATGTGTTCCTTGTGAATCTAGATTGTCAAGAGCCTGGGTGGGTGCAGGGAAAAAGATGGGGAAGAGATCAGCTGACAGGAAACAGGCCAGACCAAATCAGCCTTGTAAGCCCTTCACAGGACTTTGGTTTTCACTCAGAGAAACATAGACCCGCACATGATTTTGTGCAGAGTGGGAAGATGGTCTGGCTTGGGTTTAGAGATTCACTTGATGAGTGATGAGAATAGTCTGTGAGGGCAGAGGTAGGAGGGAAGAGACCAGCTTTGTGCAGTCCTAAAGTGACTTGGATGTATCTTGAAGGTGGCCCCAAATGGAAAGATGCAGCAGCAGCTGTGGAATGAGAGGGTTTGGGGTGCAGAAACTGGGTTCTGCATTCTGGGTATGGCAAATCTGAGGTGTGGTGATCAGCCACGGGGCAGCATCAAGGTTGGAGAGGGATGTGAGCATCGTGGGTGTGTGATCACGGGTGAGTAGAGGCTTCCGGGCCAGCTATGCTGTGTCCCAGTGCCCCAGTGCTAACGAGAGGAGGAGGCCCATCCCTCAACCCCCTGTGACTCTTGCCCCTCCCAGGAGATCATGCACGCCCTGAAGATGACCTGGCATGTACACTGCTTCACCTGTGCTGCCTGCAAGACGCCCATTAGGAACAGGGCTTTCTACATGGAAGAGGGGGCGCCCTACTGTGAACGAGGTGCGTGGGAGGGGTTCGGGTGTGGCCGGGCCGGGCATGGAGGGTTGGGCTGAATTCAGTGCCCTCTTCCTCTTTACCAGACTATGAGAAGATGTTTGGCACAAAATGTCGAGGCTGTGACTTCAAGATCGATGCTGGGGACCGCTTCCTTGAGGCGCTGGGCTTCAGCTGGCATGACACGTGCTTCGTTTGTGCGGTGAGTGCTTCCAACTGGCAGCTCTTTGGACTTGGCCACGCTCCCACTTTCTTAGCCAGACCCCACTTCCAACCGGAAACTGCTAGCCTCTGGGAGGAGTCCCTGGGAAGAGGCCCCTCCTGCTAGTCCCTAACCCATGTGACTGGATCTTCTCTGTTCCCAGATATGTCAGATCAACCTGGAAGGAAAGACCTTCTACTCCAAGAAGGACAAGCCCCTTTGCAAGAGCCATGCCTTCTCTCACGTGTGAGCCTCTCCTGCCCACTGCTGCTTGGCCCTGCCTGGGCTGGAAGAGTCATGGTTCTGGAGCCATCTCCCAAGACTTCTGGGTAGGGCTGGCAAAGGTGGCCCCAACCCCAGCTCCTGGCCCAAGCCTGGGGTCTCCCATCCCCTCCCTCACCCCATGTACCCCTCCCACTCCCTCCATCAGCATTGCACACTGGTGCTGGCCACACCGGCCCCTTTTAACCTCCAGTGCCACAATAAACCTGTATCCAGCTGTGTTGTGTGTGCCTTTACCCCTAGGCATCAGTCATGGTGAAATTTGAGGCATACAGTAGTTAATGTGATAACTAAAAGGTCCACAGTCCAAACCCACCAGCCACTTTTCGGGAAAAAGATATGGCAGTCTGTTTCCATAAAGAGTGTTGTTGTTGTTGTTATGTGCCGTCGAATTGGACCCGACTCATAGCGACTCCTCCTTGGGTTTCCGAGGCAGTATCACTATGGAAGTAGATTGCCCCATCTTCCTTCCGAGGAATGGCTGGTGAGTTTGAACCACCAGCCTTCCTTGGAAACCATATGGGGCAGTTCTAGTCTGTCTTGTAGGGTCACTATGAGTCAAAATTCACTCAATCGCAATGGGTTTAGCAGGGTAGAGACTAAGATTTTCTCAGGGCTGACCATCTTGGTGGTCCTTATAGTGGGCCAGCAAGAGGAAGTAAAAGGGAGATCCCATGTGCTGGACTCAGGCACCCATAGAAGTGAGGGGGCCTCTGGAGGAGGAGCTGGGGATGGGTCTGCAGGGACGGAGCATAAAGAAATAGGAGCAGCCCGAGATACCACTGTCTGCTTATGGAACATAGGGGCTGGAGAGGGCAGCCCACAGGTCAGGGAACTGGTATTTTCTGCTGAGGGCAAGGGGGGCCATGAAAGAGTTTGAGATCGTGAAGCAACCAGTTCAGATTTGTGTTGTAGAAAGAGGCCCTACGGCACTAGAGCAGGATAAGCAGGAGGAGGGAAGCTGGAAGTAAGAGTTGGGGCAGTGGTCCAGGGACAGTGGCCAGAGAAGGGAGGAGCAGAAGGCAATATGACAGAGATGGGACCCAGTGATGGGTCCCAGGGAGCTCAGAGAAAGGAAGGCATTTTTTGCTGGGCATCTAATACATATCAACATCTATGATCCTCCCAGCAACCGTGTGAGGCATCTACAGTTATCCTTACTTTATAGATGAGGTTCAGAAGGGTTAGGAGTACTGACCAAGGTCACACAGCCGCTGAGCCACAAACCAGACTAGAAGCCAGGCCTGAGTTGAATGTGCTGGCCCAGGACAGGCTGGCACCAGGCACCACTGTCTCTAGCTGGTGCCCTTCTAGGAGGCTTGCTTCTGCCTGGTACCTTGACATCTGGAGGTGTGGGTGGTGGGCCTATCATCCCCAGAGCTTTCCATCTCCCACTGGGGCCCTAGACACCCAGAGGGACTTCTGGCACTCCTGTTCCAAGTGTGGATCGGAGAGGGGTCAGAGCAGACCAGGACAGCGCAGTGTGCCCATGCACAGGTCCTTCTGTGCTCTTTGGCCCCAGCACCTTCTGTGCATCTGTCAGCACTTTCAACAGGTCCTTGGGCCAACCCCCTTTAAGAGAAAAGAAGGGTCGCTCTGTCTTCACTGAGGGTGTAAGAGAGAAGAGTTTGAGCTGGCAGCAGCCTGGAAAAATAGTGCCTTTGATAGAGACAAATGGGAAAGGAAGGCACTGTGTTACCACCTCTTCGACCTTTGGGGATTGAGTGCAGGGCTTGGTGGAGTTTCATGTCTTGCCAGACCTAGAACTCTGCCTGGCACTTAGTGGGGACCCAATAAGTATTTGTTGAATGACTGACTGAAGAGCAGGTGGCACATTTAGGAGACATTCAGGAAGCAGCTGAAAATAGAGTTGGGAATGGATTTGAAGCAAGTCTACAGCAGTCAACATATATGCTTATAATTGCGCCTCAGGAGAGCTGGGGAGTAAGGCCCAGGCAGGTAACATCAGGAGTTACATTTGGAGTAATAGTATGAGTAACAGCAGCAGGTTGGATATGGTTTTCTTTGAACCTAGACATCCCTGACATGAAACGTACAGTATTTTTCATTTCCACAAAGAAATGTACTCTCTCCTCTTGAACCATGAAGCCCTCTTGGTCCATCTTTGGTTTCCATGGATACAAGTGAGCAAGCACAGGCAGCATGGGAAGAGCTCTAGGAGCCTGGAGCTGCCTGGGGGCACTGCAGAGGAGCCAGGCAGTGTGACCACATCTGTGTCAAGAACACCCAGAGGTTCCTATTTTTATGTGAAACCTGGTTTTTGAATATCAGCAACTGTCTTAGTTATCTAGTGCTGCTATAACAGAAATACCACAAATGGATGGTTTCCACAAATGAATTTATTCTGTCACAGTTTAGGAAGTTAGAGGAGAAGTCCAAGTTCAGAGAACCGGCTCTAGGAGAAAGCTTTCTCTCTGTGTGTCTCTTGATCCTGGGAGGAGCCCAGGGACCCTGTTTCCAAAGGATGCACTCTGCTCCTGGCTCCTCTTCCTTGGTGGTAGTAGGTACTCCACCCACTGCTCTCTTCCCTCTCCTTTTATCTCTTGTAAGATAAAAGGTGTTGCAGGTCACATCCCAGGGAAGCTCCCCTTTCATCAATCAGGGCTGTGATGGGAGTAAGGGTGTTGCAAACCACCCTTAATCTTAAACCTTTTTACACCTGATTGGCTTATCACATCAGCTCACATCTTAGAGTATCCTTACATATCTGCCACATTACATCATTACATAACTGCTAAACCACTGAGAATCATGGCCCAGCCACGTTGACACAAATTTTGGGGGACACAATTCAATCATGATAGCAACTATGTTAGACTTTTAAAAATCTTATTGAAAAAAAAAGCATATGTGGGGTCAATCCAGTGGAAAGAAGAGATGGGTGATTAGGAAGCCCACACAGGACTGGGCAGAGAAAGTGGAAGAAGCCTAGAGAGAGGATAGCTCCCAGAGCTCCCGGGGAAGCCAGGCCAGGGCAAGAGTATTTCAAGAAGCTGCCAACAATGTCATCAGGGCAGATAAGGCCTGAGGAGTCCCCCAGGCATTTTGCAAGAAGGTGACATTTGCCAGATCAGTTTAGTGGAGAGCTGGGGCAGCTGCCAGGGTTAAGGAGGAACAAGGGAGGTGATGAGGATGTGGACAGAGTGCCTGTGGAGAGAGTGAGTGAGTGTAGACAGTGCTTTCAAGAGGCTGGGCTGTAGTGCGCCAAGAGATGGCAGCTGGAGTGGCCACAGGTCAGCCGGCAGCCCAGATGGAAAAACGGAGTTGGAAGCCTTCTGGTCTGCAGAGGAATAGTGGTCAAGATGGGAGATGTTGGAGGGGGTGTATAAGGGGAGAGTAGGGTGGGGCTAGGAGCTCTGGTGGCTTAGTGCCTAAGGTATTTGACTGCTAACCAGAAAGCTGGAAGTTCAAACCCACCAGCCACTCCTCTGAAGGAAGATTAGGACCGGAAGGAAGATTGGACAATCTACTTCCGTAATGATACCTCCTCAGAAACCCAAGTGGTGACTATAGTCGGATCCAACTGGATGGCAGTGTGGTTTTTTTTTTTTTTTGTTTTG